TACAGTGTATGGTTAAGAAGTGGTTTTAATGTTGTGGCTGGTGATGTGAGTCACAAATCAAATTGACTTCTGCCAAACGCCACCATGAGGAAGTCTGTTGTGACGCTTAATGCCCACCAGCCAGCGCTCTGCAGGTGGTTCTAATGTTGAGGCCGGTTGATGTAACTTGTAAATCAAACAGTTAAGAACACGTTTTCCCACCTCCAGGTCTTGATCCAGACGCCCAAAACCAACTACACTGTGCAGGACTACCAGCGGCTCTACAAGGACATCGACTTCGAGGACGGCTGGCTGATGCGGCAGGACACCGAGTCGCTGGTGGCCGACCTGACGCCGCCCGGAGTGGAGGTCCACTGTCTGTACGGCACCGGCGTTCCCACGTCCGAGGCCTTCCAGTATTCTGACAAGTTCCCCGACGTGGAGCCCACGGTGCTGTACGGCGACGGCGACGGGACGGTGAACCGGCACAGTGCCATGCAGTGCCAGCGCTGGGCCGGCAAGCAGAAGAAGAACGTGACGCTGAAGGAGCTCCCGGGGAACGAACACGTCAACATGCTGACAAACTTCTCGACCGTGGCTTACATCAAGACCGTGCTGTTCGCTCCGTGACGCCGGCACGGAGGCGGCATCATGCTCACACAGTGTAATGCATAAGCTCTGTACTGACAGACAGGAACCGACTCACCTCACCTGCCTCTCCGAGAACACTGACTGCCAAATACCCCTCCCTGTTCACACAGCATCGCTCGAATGAAAGTGTTAAAGTTTTATAGGACAGAGGTAAATTTTAAATAAATTTTTTAGCTGCGATCCTACAGTTTACGTTGATGTCAGGTTGTTTACTACCGAGCAAGCCAAAATGCAACGACTTTTGTAATGGTGTCAGATTTTAAAGATTTAACCTTCTTCACCCACACGTGCTCCGATAAAGGACGGACGGTCAAAGCGCAGGGATACACTGTTTGTGCCACTCGATCAAAGTTTAGTAACGTTGTGAAAGAGATTCCTGAGCTCCTCTGACTGAAATCTAGTTAAATAGAAGCTACATGTTAAAGCACATTATTATTATCTCTGAGTGCGACTAAAACTTTTTCTTTATGGGAACAGCTTGCGTCATGTTTTTGTAATTTGGTTTTTGTTAATTTTTTCTGCACGTATCTGAGCTGTGAGTCCCCGATGGTGGATTTCAGTGTCGTATTGTCGTGAACTTGCTTTTTCAGGAGCTTTAAAACACATTTTTGGCACTTAATCAATGAAATGATGCAGTTAAAAGTGCTAGAAGAGGCGAGCTAGTGGACTTTAAGATGTGTATGTGTCAAATGTAGTTTTTGATTTAAAAGTAGAAAGACTGTCAGAAAGACGTCTACTCTCTCAACTGCGTCTCATGAAGAAGCTCATGTAAATCAGCTGAAAGCACGAGAAAATCAAGTTCCTGTTTAGTCAAATTACACTTTCTGAGGTCTAAAAAAGGGCTTTTACAGTCACATTTTTAACAGTTTAGAGAAATTAGTCATTTTAAATCCTGCTCCCGGTTGTTTGTTCGCTAAAATGAAAAGTGATGGACCTCCTTCAGTGTTTTATCGTCTAAATTCTGACATTTTAAACTTTATTCAGCGTAGGAATCATGGATTGTACTTCAGCGTGGCCACCGTGCACTCCTGCATATCAATCACGAGGGACCATCTTCCTTTCTTTTCCCCATGTCGCCGGTTCCGATGGCGTTTTCCCTGGATTTAGTCGGAACCCGGCTGGAATCGACGTCGCGATGAGGATCTTTTCTCGGATGTGTCGTGTTTTGTAAAACGAGTGATTGTAGCGCGCCACGCAGCCCCCGCAGGGCCGACCAACGTCATCTCACACCTGCTGTGATCTATCATGAACGTGTCATAAACATGTGTTGCCTTCTATACAATAAAATATTTCAAATATTACCTGCAGCCACTGAGGTTTTTTTTTATCCATCTGGTGAACTTTTTGTCTCATTTCAAGGTGAGAAACTATAAGAGAACCCTTTTTTTCCCCCCATAAACTGGTCAATTTTGAGATTTCAGGGCGCTTCAGTTTCCACGTCTGTTGGACATTAATGCAAATTAGTGCATATTTAATGAGCTACTGCCTTATTTGCATACTTTAACAAACTCTGTAGCACAAAGAATAATTGTCTTGATGTCAGTAATCAACTGGGGATCATTTATAGTCATCTGTTAGACAAAACTTCTACACATAAATGGTGGTTTTCAGTCAAAATGAATGAAATTATAGTAGCTTATA